GCACCTCGTTTAATTGAGCATAATCCGCGTGTTTTCCGAAATAAACCTCGATTGTTCGAAATTCAGCGCAATTAACGAACGAACAGCTCGAAGTCATTAAAAGTCGAGTAGCTTATCGATGCTTCTAACCGTCGTCAACACGTTCTTCCGCAGATAACAACAGCTATTCATTGATATTTGATTGATAATCAATCTACAGCTATTACAAGTTCATCGTCATGAATTGTTGATTTGTTGAACTATGATTGACGTTAAATAATTTTAATTATTTCGAACACTCGCTCCCTTACGAAATTAATATAATAATCAATTTTTTAAATATTAAATAATAAATTTGTGATGTCAAATGTTTAAAATTTTATTTCTCAATTTATTATATTAGATCTCAGGTTTCTCTAACGATTTACACCGAACATTATACACCTGACGATAAAATACTAAGAAAATATGTATGATTGCTCGGTTTTTATCATAATACAAACGTTTTCGAATCAGATAATTGCTGATTGTTAACCGGATACGACCGTTCCTTCGAGTGATAAGCGTTCATCAATTCTTGACACCTTTCGATAAGTTTTAGGAATATTCCACCGGTGTGGTAGGTGGAATTAAATGAAACCGAGGTTTTACAAAACCCAGGGGAATTCAGTGGATTTCGAGGCGATTTAAATTCTTGTAAGCCAGAGTGGGGTATAATTAATCGACAGACTAAATTCGTGCTTAAAATTCAGTTCCCTTTGAAAGTAATCCTCGATGGTTAAAATTTTCTTTTTATATGATAAATTGAATGATTTAAAGATAGAAATTAGTACCGAACATACTTCGTTCAATTTCTCTGAAATATTGCTTCATATTTTTGTAACGCAATTAACAGGCCAAGTGGAGCGAAATCCAGAGATTCTCTTTCCCTTGACTTTTTTTTTACCTCCTGTTTCTAGCTAGCTGTTTTCGCTTGATCGACGGAAATAGCCGGTCACAAAGGATTTGTTTGGAAGCCCCGCGTTACAGAACGGCGCATATCGAAAAGGCTTCTTCGGTGCATTCGTCTGCCGCGCTTAACACATTCAATTACCCCTTTGGTGGGTCACCGACGGGTCACGATTCCATAGTGTCGCGTTCAACATGATTGCTTTAACACCGTTGCTCGATCAAGTCCTTTGCCTATTTATAATTCGAACCAATGCAACCGTGAAAATTAACCAAGAAACGAGCCACTTCTTTTTAAATATGTCATTCACACCTTCGATTATTGGCAATTTTTGAAATTGTCAACTGATAATACCCTGAATTTTCAAGTTTCTTTTTTTTTTTTTTTCATTTAATATCATAAGCAATAGAAACGATTGACATAGGAAAAATTTCTATAGCACATCCGATTTTTATTTGGTCTTCAACTATTCGTTTAGAAACATGCAAATAAACAACGAATTCCACTTTTAAGGCTCAGCGAATGCAAAGTTTCAGATAAATGGCACGATCAATAAGATACTATGTGGGTCTCGATGTTAACTTCCGTTCGAGGAAGAAACAGGCAAACGTATTATATTTCCTTTTCGTAGAAGATTTATGGTTGCATGAAGCTCAGAATTATTGAGCAAATTTATTAACTCGATAATTATTAAATTTCGATTTCGGTTAGAAATTTTTCATACTTTTTAAGGCTGAATGAAGAAATCTTGATTCTTCATAGAAATCGAATGTAATAATTAGCGTATATACATTCAACAACAATTACGCGACTCGAGAAACACGTTTCTATGGTGAAAACCTGGCATTCCTGCGTTCACCGAGGAATATTAATGGGACGAGTATGCATATCGCGCTCCACCGAATTGATGTAAACTTGCATTTCCGATTTCTCCTGTTTACGCGACGCTAGCGTGCTTATATTGATTCCTATTGAATTTCGTGGTGGGTTGCTTGAATACTGGGAATTAATTGGGAAAATCTCCGCTTTCAGTTTTTATATAAAAAATCACAGAATTCCTATGAAAATTCATCGTACTACTAAACTCCTTCATCCATTAATTTTGAGATCCAAAAGTAACTAAAATATACTCTTCCAAATGGGAATACGTATCTCCTTAATGTTCCTCGCGAGAAAAAGGATTCCGTCGATTATCGCTCGATATAGGTCACGGGGAGATAGCTTTATCTTTCGTTAGGGATAGATAAAATCCGTAGAAATAGATTCCCGAGGGAGGAGAAGTAGAAACATGAAGGAAAGTTCTTGGTCTCTGAAAAAGAAGAACTTTTTCAGACAGGATAAAGCGACCGAAAGTTCATCCATGTTCGTTCGACCCTCCGACAAATTGTAGAATAAAAATAGGGTTTCCATTGTCAGAAAACGATAGATAAGATTTAAATAGACAAAAAGTTTGCGAGAATAAGGAGAAAATGGGTTGAAGGGCTTTCGAGTTTAAAGTTGAGGGTCAATTTTGAATACAGCTTCAAGGACGATAGCGTTAAAAGTGGAGGGCCCTGTGACACGGTCGATTAACTCTATTGCTTTTACCTTTGTGCTTGGAATAGATCGAAACATTAACCCTTTTGTGACTGAACTTTAGGTTGAAACGATATTTCGAAAATTTTTAACTTTTTGGAACCCTTAAGAATTTTCCAGTAACAATTTTCAATATCTTCAATTCAGTTAAGAAAACTATACCAAACGTGTTAGAAAATGTTGTCGCTTATTAAATTACATCAAACGCCGATGTAAACTTTTGTATTGCAAGCAGTTCGATGATTAAATAATCCTGGAAGATGTACACTGTTACGTTGAACGATGTTTTAGCAAACTTCAGTGACCTTTTGCTCTCTTTAACGAGGCTGAATTCAATTTAAAACTTTGGAAGAACTGGGACACCGAATCTCCCACGTTCGATGCTCAAAAAGCTGTAGCGCTTTTTCTTTTTTTTATCGCGAGAAAAATATTCCTTTTGATAATTAATGTAGCTGCAGATGGATCGTTAATTAACGAGAAATGTATAATGTAATGAATCCAACGTTTGTCAAATTATAGAGGGTGAATCGATGAAATATTGAAAGTTTTATTTTCACTAAAATACATCCTGTTAAATATTGAGCAGTGATTTGTGGTACAGGAATATCTTAAATAAATGGCCATGACCCTTAAAACTTTACAGTTCGATCATCGAGACAATGTTTCCCTTTAAAATCGATTAGGCCGGATGTGTTCTTAACGGGCGCGTTCGTACTAAGAACTTTGCAGGGTAAACATCAGAATTCATTTAGACGATCGATGAGCATTCTGTTCCACATTCGCCAAGGTTTATAGCTTGAACGGTTACAGAGTCGTAAAAATGCTAATTCGTTCCATTGTGCAATTTTCCATTGCTCATCGACAAAATGTTCGCTGATAAGAACGCTATTTAAACAACATTGTTCAATCGAGCTACCCCAGTTTTTCCTGTCTCTGTTGATTCAAATGATCAACGTCAGAATTATATATTTTTTTTTTTTATTTTTTTACCATGGATATATTTATTTTCAGCGATAGGTGATGTAACACCGGTTGACAAACAGACTTATGCAAATAATATCTCGAGTTTATTTCGCAATGGAAAGAAGCTTCGAGCACTGGATAGAGAAAGAGCAATATCGATGTAAAACGAGTCTCGCTGAACATTCGCATTCGGAATACAAATTTTTCTCGTTCATTGCCTTCGAATCCTCTATACCTCTCGCCTCGAATATTCGTATAATTTAACCCTTTGCAATCGAAGGGAGTAAAACAACAGCAATTCAAAGCTTTTTGACTAACAAATAAACTCTCGAATGCAAATGATTAATATTTGCAATTACTAAATTCTAAGAATTTAATTTTTGTAATTTTCTCTTTTTCTTTTTCTTATAAAGAAATCGATGAAAGTCTAATTTGAAATTCACTGAGCTTAAGTGATTTCTCTCTGAAGAGTTTTTTATTTTTCCAATCTTATCTTAGGTGGTTGCTATAAATCGATTGACGTAATTCTCTCTTTTCCACGATGCGAACACTTCGGAACCTCAGGTGGTTAAATAGACTCGTCTCTGAAAGGGATTGCAGAGACCCACTAACACAAGGAGGTCGATGATCTTGTTCTTTATGGGGCTGCCAGGATATAAGTTCCGTGGCCGGACAGACGGCGCCAGTCTCTGTCTCCTTGCCATTAGGGAAGCCTACATTCTGTGTCCTACACGAACCCCCACGGATTCCTTGCACGTTGATCGAAAAGAGACACCAACATGAACGGGCGGCACGTGACTGCATGCGCGCAGAACAACCCGGTCGTCCACGAATTAAGTTGTTTTTCGAAACTTCCGATCGGGGTTACGTCCTTGGTTGCTTGTTGTCCCCGTTAGCTCGGGGTGTGTCCCAGATTTTTATCGAGTGCACTGTTCATTTTTAGGTTTCTATGATATCGGAGTATAGTCCGTGCGTCAGCAACTATTTCGTCACCAACTTGAACCAACTTTGTTATTTCTCATTTTCTCTGAAATTTTATAATTATATGAATTCAATAAAATTTCTATGGATTCATTATTTCCTCCTATCGTTATATTACACATTTCGTTTATCATATTTCTTAAATATACGATGTTTGCGTCTTCTGTATGACCATTTCAATAGAGCGATAGAGCACGTGGAGTTTGAAACAGTTTAAGTTTCGGGACATTCATACGTCAGTATTGCGCCTGCGCGCTAATTGTCAACGTGACATTTCGCATGCTCGGAGGGTCTGGTGCTCGCGTAACGAAGTAAATTTAGTATTTGAGGGTAAAGGATGTGGGAAGAGATTAAAAAAAGAGATAAAAAAAACCGTGAATGTATTAAAACATACATAGAAGATTCGTACAAAATCGTTTTAAACCTCAGTTGACAGAAAAGTGAGGTTAGGTGTTCTTCACGTAACACAAACACAATTATTTTGTACAGTAGAATGATCGAAAGAAAGTTTTACGTCTACTAATTGATTATAATATTAAAATTTTTGTTTTAGCTGAATGAGGCTCATGGAACCTTTGGGTGTTGCCCTAGACGTGGTGGAGACGGGCGCATTGAAAAAATGGTCCGACTTCCCCGTCCATCATCGATTCACAGACTACTCCAATTCAATCGGAGAACCCACACATCATACTATAAGTCCCTTTCCATGCCAACCAGCGATTAACAGTAAAATTGCGCTATGGTAAGTCTGCAGTAAGAAGAATAAAGAATTTATTTCTATAAGATGCTATTAAAAATCATATTCCAGGACGGAAGATGTTTCTGTTCTACAAGTGGATGCAGTGGTAAATTCTACCAACGAAACAATGGATGATAATAGTCCTATGTGCCAAAGAATATTTGCTCGGGCTGGTTCAGCACTTAAGATGGAAATATTTAATGAAGTAAAAGGTATTGACTTTGTTCAAAAGCACTTATTGCTTTATTTTATTATACTATAATGACTCATGTGTACATTTTCAGAATGTAAAACTGGTGAAGTCAGAGTAACACAAGGTCATGGATTGCCTGCACGTTTTATTATTCATACTGTTGGGCCAGTTTATAATGTGAAATACCAAACAGCAGCCCAAAATACATTACATTGCTGCTATAGGTAAATGTTAACAGTATTGAAAATACATAAAAGATGAACAAAAATATGAAAGATGACAAATAACCTTTTTTTTTGGTAGAAATGTTTTGCAGAAAGCAAGAGAGCTTGGATTACGTACGATTGCGTTACCCGTAATTAATTCAGTACAAAGAAATTATCCTCCCGATGCAGGAGCGCATATTGCGCTTAGTAAGTAGACGTTACTTAATATTATGCAAACCATTGACTATTACGTTTTAGAATTAAGCATTAATTGTTTACTGTTTGATTTAATAGGAACAGTAAGAAGATTTTTAGAGCAATACGGTGATTCTGTAACATGCATTGTATTTGTTCTGGAACCATGCGATCTTGGAATATATGAAGTTCTTCTTCCACTTTATTTCCCAAGAAACTTAGCCGAACAAGACAATGCTTGTTGGCAACTACCGAACGACATAGGTGGTATGGATGGGGAACCTTTACTTCCTGACCGACAGATCAGGATCATTGACAATCCACAACATGCTTTACACGGTAAATGAATGAGACGATATCGGAAAGGAGGGGTATCAGTTCTTTTATTTTTTGCAACTATTAATATCAAAAGTATATTATAATGTTACAGGTGATGAAAGTGTAGAATTGTCCGCGCAATTAGAGACATCCGTAAATATTGGCGAACATGCGTTTGCGCAAATGCAGGGTGACTTGGATCGGCAGAGACTCCTTGGGGAGAGACCACCTGCTGATCCACTCGCGGATATAATGTTAAAACAAATGCAGCAGAAAGAAAGGTACGATTACTTAAAAACATTTCTATAGATTATGTTTATTTTATATCATGACCACAGCGGCAACAAAGTTTTAATATAGAATACAGAGTACCAAAAGATTACGAAACGTTATTTGTTTATGTTAACGAAAATATTTTGCAAATGTTTTTGCCAGAAGATTTGGCTTCATGAAAGTACACAAAATTCTATTCACGCAATACCACAGATGCAATTCCATACGAATTCAACATTACTCGCGTGCGTCACGATGCTATTCCCGACTATTCAAATACAAACGGTGCTTATTTTTACTTGCAAATGTTTATACCAAGTATTACGCTCTGTTTTATTCGCGAAGGACACATTGACTTATTACTTTACGATCTGCGTTATGGACGAGGTGCAAAACAGAACAATCATCTCACGATCTGAAATACCGACATCATGAAAAACCTCATTTTTGTTGAACTAATGATTCTATAGGAACTAAATCAGACTAATTAATTGAGAATGATTAAATAGAAGCGTGGGAAAGAAGTAATGAATTTCTTTTTAATTGTACATGAATGAAATAGGATGGAGATGAAATTATATAACATATATTATGGGAAGGTCGTGTTCGTGTTTGCTTGAAAAATAGAGATTATTGCACAGATAAATGCTGGAAAATAAGGAATTTAAATATCGTAACACTTAGCTTGATATCGCTTTTTAAAAATTACTTTCTGAAGACTTTTTAGAAAACGATATCAATTACCAGGTCACACCACGAGGAGGTGGCTACGAAAGTGACCCGCTCTAAAATCATAAATTCTCCCAAAACGGACAACATAAAATACCAATTTAAACGATAAAATGTTGAAACAGAAAATATAATTAACATAATAATTTCAGCAAATCATAGAACAATCAACAGATACTAATTTTACAGAGAAAGGTAGTCGCTTTTGATTGGCATAAATATAACTTGTTAAAAAAATTTTGTTCACTTCATGCAACATTACGAAGTTGAATAAAATTTTTTTAAATTTTCTAAGTGCTACTTATATCACTATAACTTTCCTAAAAAACAACATAGCTAGAATCTTAAAAGAATATCTAAAAAGTATCACTTCAGGTAACACAGATGAACACACGCTCCAATAATCCAATCATTGACTCATACCGATTTATATTTGACAGGTTGATTCGCACACCTCGTCGGTCGCGATAAAACTGACTAAATATGACCCTGTTGTAGATCGAAGCGTTGACAATAGGTGCGCGCCGTTGCTCCATATTTATTTGTTTCCGTGATTATTTTTCTAACTATGTAGTTGTTCATTAAAAACTAATTCAAAGATTTCCCTTCTCGTTAGATCTTGTATATTTGCCGTTACATCGCTCACGGCTGAAAAATTATGTACATACATTCGGCGTACGATTTTCTTGTTTCCATACAAAATCTCTATTTACAAAACCGGCACCGTTGCTCATCTTCGCTGTCGTCGCTTGATGAAATACGACGGATACGTCTTCGGGTATATCGTATTTCCACACTTAAATCCGAATCGTCAAAATAGTCGGAATCCATTGGGGGAACTAAATTTTATTTTAAATTATAGAATCAGGCTATTTTTTAAATTTGAATTTAGATTGACACTACATTACTCTTAACGATAGTTAGAAAGATCTACACGACAATTAACAACAGTGTAATTTGTTAAGAACGCAATGAAAACAGGTCAGAAGATGCTCGCACACTGATAATGAAAAGCGAACTGCGTAAATGAAAGTCGCGTCTTGGTGATAGCTGACGATCATCCTGTGCAGAATATTCCTCTTACGGATGTAAATGGGTTAATTATGATAAATTATACATATACAGGGTGATCCTCTCGCTAGTGGACTCAAAGGAAGTGCCGCCACAATGTATACCGCAGTTCACCAGAGTCCATAACTGCGACGCGCAGGTTGGAAGATGGTGGGGGAACGCAGCGAGCTCTCTGCTAATCGCTTTCCACTTCGTTTGGGAGTATCGCCAATCAGGGCGAAGATGCGCACTGGAGAAGCGCGAAGAACGAAAACTGGTCTTTTCGCAGTTATGGACTCTGGTGAACTGCGGTATATGTATGAATGGACCCAAGCCGTTTTCTTGACGGGGGTGCATACTGTAGCTGTGTCCGTGAAAAGGTTTCGATGACAGAAAAGGGCTTGGGTCCATTACTGGTGTGGCGGCACTTCCTTTCAGTCCACTAGCGAGGGGATCACCCTGTATATTTTGAATAATGAAATTAATTTTAATTTTGCAGTTGTTTTTTAATTGATTATTACCTCTTGAAATTTATTTTTTATAACTTTCACATGTTGATATATTGCAAATGTATGTTTAATTATTATATTTTAAATTTATTGTGTTTTCATATAAATTTGAAAAAAAACGATCAGTTATTGAATGTTATTCGGTAACGGAATTACAAACGCTTTTTGATTTCAAAATTGATTTATTACTTTCATTTCTATTTAATTCTTTAGTTTTTAAATTTTGAAGATAATAATTATTCTTAATTTTAATTCCTACCACTAAATGCGCTGTGGTAGAAAACCAATTGTAGTCGGTATAGTAGGATGTGACACTAAAATGGTAAAGGGTCTCTGGAGACCCTCGAATGTGAGACAAAGAAACATCGAGTGTTTGGTCTGTTCCATACTTCGTTTACGATGTTATAAATTTTTATGGGAACATTTTTTATTTATCAAGCATAGGTTTCTTTGATACCGACATTCGCTAATTGAACATTCCATTCGCCAATCGTGTACCATTGATAAGAAGAAACAGTCCTTCAATGGTACAAATAGTATTCCTGTAATAGTAATATATTATTACACTTATACAAATTTTACATTACCATTTTTGTATAAAAATAATGATATTCTCGAGCAATTGCCAATTTACTACTTCTATTTTCTCCTAAGGTTGGAATCAGTGTATAATTTATTGAATAATTATTTTAATTGAAAAGCGTTGATCGATTCTTCATTAGTCAATGAAATTTTTCTCTGTTCATTAGCGAAGGAAAAAACTGTCTATCTTTATATAAAACGGTCCTTGCCAATAATACCGTCTGGATAGAAATGTCCTCGTAACCTTTCCACACTCGTAATCACGTTTCCAGTGGCCCAGAAATAGCTAGTCTCTATAAAAATAGTTAACTCATCGTTATCGACGAGCTTTCCCAATTTCCACGAAAATTCACGCGTTCCATCATGTGAAACATCTCGGTTCGCGTCATCGGAATAAATCATTTGGTCGACAAAATGACGGTTCGTTAAATAAGATAAGTTTCGAAGTTACCTACGCAAAGACTTGTCGTCAATTTTATCGTGATAAAGCTTTCTTAATCACGAGGTAGTTAGACTGAATGTGACGAAGTTAACTTGTAAAAATTATTTAGTTATTTAACGTAATGAAGGACAGGATATTTCAAATGATGAAATTTCAAAAAATACAGAAACACATTGCAATAGTCTAAATTATCGATGTTGACAACTGCGTTTTGGCTGTTCTTCAAAAGTTTTCAAACCGGAAATGCGTACTAGTTTATTTTACGAGAATCCATCGTAAACATCAGTTTAGACATCTGTTGTGCACATAACATCTGGCGCCGTTAACACTACGAGTGAAAATTGTTGCATTTATAACCGAGATACGTTAGAAACATTAAATTTTCAATAGCATCTTTCTGTTTCCGGGTATATTGAACATAGAGATACACCAGAGAAATATTAATCCTGTTTTATGACTGAAATCGGCAAATCGAACTCGAGCGTTCAGTACAGGAAACGATGATTTTCAATGCGTGTTTTCGATTCGCGATTTCGACAAAGGAGTGTCTTTTCATTATACATTTCTTGGAAGGAACGCCTTGGATCCATTTTAATCGAGGCCATGGCCGCGAAATCGTGGACATATCCGAACACGCAACCTTCGAGGTTGCCCGTGTATACATGATTGAGAAAATCACTCTTAATCGTCGGATAAATTGCAATTTCATTACGCTCGCCTTCATGGAAATTTTATTTAAAATTCAAATAATTCGAAAATCACAGCTCCAAAAATCTTATTCGTAATTTCTCTGCTTTCTTCTCCGATTTTCCCCGGAAATTGAAGGCTCTCTTACCATCTCACAATAATAGAACAAACGTATGTGGAAAAGCATGTCGAACGTTGTAGGAATGTAGGATCCAAAAACAGCCTCAAGGAATTGCCAAAATTACACTTCCGACTTCCGGAGGAAGTTGAAAACATTCGTTATGAATTCGAAGAAAGAGCAATTCGTATATGGTAAAGCATTGAAATCTGATTAGTCCTGGCGTATTTCTAGCTTTTCTGAGAAATCGAACGGCCTCTTTTCTTTTCCTCGAAACACCAACTGAATTGTATTGACAATCAATAAGAAGCAGATTGTAGTTTTCCACTTTTTTTTTTTTTTTGTATATATACATATAAATTTTTGCTCGAGAGAATTATCATAAAAGTTGCATGGAAGAGAGGAATATTAATGACGCATTGATTTCAATCCTGTTCGCTGACTGTTGCAATCGAATGATCTAAAATAATAATTGACCACAACAGTCGATCGAGCTTTCGTTCGTCGAAACTGGTGTGCATTTAGAAGCAATCGACCCAGAAATTCGAAAGCGTAACGCAATTTTGGCGTTAAGCTGTCGAAACAATGCTTGCATAGAATCAACCAGTTGTGAAACAAAGTGGCTACTTCGAATTCTAGTTTATAGAGTTCTGTGGCATTCAATAGCCACTCGGTTTAATTTTAACAAATTCCGACTACTTTATGTAAATTCAAAATTATTCTGTATAATATTCAGTAAGGTGAATTTCCCTTACTTAGGGTGGAGTACAATTTAGTGTTCTACACTTGGGTACTCGGAAAAATTTAATTATCAATGTTTTTTCATTATATGTTAAATTTTATAAATGCAAAACGAACGTTCCGGATAATTTTTACCCAGCCTAGGCCAACCCTTTCACCTTTAAGCGACCTTAAAGCAAAGAGATTCTTAATGAAAGGGTTGATTAATCAGCGCGTTGGAAGGAAACGTAATAACCGATCCACGAATCGCGTCTCTATTTCTATCGTTGGTCTGGCTTTTTACTCATCGAACACGTAGTACCCTAAGCGGAGCAGGCGCCGTGACGCAGCCGGCAGAGGCACGCGCCCACGAAGACGCGCCGCGGCGTCCCGACGCGACGTCGTTTCGCCTCTCGTAGACCCTCGTCTTCCTCGTTCAGGCGGCTCAGTGTGTTGCGACTCGCCGCGTACGCTCGTTGTGCGTCGAACCTCTTCTTCCTTTATACGTGGTGTGTACTTTTTCACACTGCACTGCACCAACGATTCTTGTTTTATTTATTCGACTGTTTCGCAATCTCGTGTCTGTTTTCGAAAATCGTCTTTGATACTCTCCGATCAGTGGTTCTGGACCGATGGTACAAGCAAGGACTCGCTCGTCGATCGAACCGGAACACGAGGAATAAAGACTTCCCTTTCGATAGAAAATTATCACCGGGGTATATTTTTTGTGAACAAAGGGTGTACATTGTCAGAATGGTCATGATTGACATGGTGGATATGACCGAGGACGAAGACCGGTGCGTAAGATTGTTCATTATTTTCATTCCGCTCGTTGTTACGTAAATGTTCTCTGTCTGAATTTTAGTTTTTATTTGTTCTTTTTTTTTTATTGTGTTTTGTGTGGAAGTTGGGATTCAGGGTTGGGGTAGTTTGAATCCGGGGTTCTGTACGAGTCTGCGGGTTTAATCGTTTTCCGATACGCGGGAATAATTATTTTTGGTACAACGCCCAGTTTTGTTTCTCGCCCTTCGCCTACGCTGCTTTGGTGGCGGTCCAAGAAAACGGATTTTTCGAGGACCGATCTGTTGTCCCCGAAGAGAAACCAGCGAATCACGAGCTCGTTCGAGTGGATGCTGGTCGATAGCACGCAGAGACGCACCACCCGCGTGTCTTTCGTCATTCACGAAAACCTTTTTCGCCTTTCATTCGCTCGGAAAATGCAATTTACAATCGTGGGGGGGATGGATTATTATCGAAAAGATCGTGGAAAAGATTTTTATAACCAGCGTGAAAAATGATCGTTCCAAGTGGACAACGAAGAAAATTGAGGTTGTAACTGTGAAAAATTTCTGTCGAAAATTATTTTGCAATTTGTTTTGTTTTTTGCGATCGATAGTTTGATCGAGACTGATGAAATTATCGAAGTCCTTAGAAACTGATAAATTGACAAATTAATTAAATAATGAACTTCTGTGCATAATTTGCAATTTTTCCATTTAATGACGAGGAATTTTTGTTTTGTTTTTTTTTTTTTTTTTGTAAATATTTATTCACAGATTGCTATACTCATTAATACCTTTGCTACTAATTAATTTCATATTACAAATATTATTTTATAACATTTTATAAAATTTACCAAAACTGGAGTTGATTAATTTCCAAGGAATTCTATTGTAATCAGTTTCTTTAGTTATCTAATTAAAAATGTTTGACTTAATTATTTCATATTATAGATAACAGAAATCGAGTATAAAATTGTTGAAAATGTTTGTTAATCTCTCCGCCTTAGACATATCGCAATTACGTTGAAGCTGGTGAAATCATCGAACGCAGCGATTTCATTAATCGTTCGAAACTCTGGAAAATAGCGATGCACTTCGATATTAAATTCGCAGGAAAATGTTTGCGAATTTCTCTCATTTGAAATTTCGCAATGAATTTTCATGATATTCGTTGATGGATGAATTGAACCGGGTAATAATAACTCTCCAAAAACAGGAAGTAGATATATATTTCATCTGAATAAATGTTTACCGTATCTACTTAGATGTTAAAATATTCAAGAATCTATGGTGGAACATTTACTCAAATCTTATTCAAATCTCCAAAATACGTTTTTAAAATAATAATTTTAATTAAATGTGTTTCAAAAATAATAATTTTAATTAATTGAGCTTCAAAAATAACAAATTCTTCAATATTAAGCTTTATTGCATATTTTGATAATATTTATCCTCTATTATTATTGTACTTTGTTCAATTGCACACAGTTGATCGATTCAATTTCCATTTATACGAAAAGCCTCGATATGAAATTCGCAAATAACCTGCCACTTGATGAACAGTTTTTCTCGTCATGTGAGAAGCTGTCGTTGTAAAGACAATAGCGTTCTCGTAACGCGAGTAACAATTAAAGAAACGGCGCCATGTGCTACGAATTGCAATAAACAAACGCGAGATAAACGAAGACCATCAATATAACCGATGAAAACGAGCTTGTATAGATTATTAAAAATGCTTCAGCAGTAAAATAAGCGGCTATTGTTTTTCGCGTGTGGTCACAGCTGAAGCTTTGAACGAGTCTCCTGGCAAAAAAGTCGAAAACATAAGCAGACCAAAAAGTCAATAGTAGAATTGCTCTTTTCCTCGGTTCACATTATAGAAACAATCATTTGAAACGCGATAACACGAATTGAACAAAACATTAAACATGCACTTTTTAATTTTTTGTAATTATCGAAGTAATTTGAACGGTACTGTAGATTCCTTTACTTTCCTTATCTTTCTTTATCTATCTGTCTTAATTGAAGTTTCATATTTGGAATTACTAATGCAGTTTGAATAGTTCTGAAGGTTTCATTTCTTTACCTATTCTATTTGATTAACGTCGACTGGCGCAGTAGATATGACCGTGTCTAATGCATAACACGATACTGTTAATTAATTTTTTAATTAAATTCTCCCATTCGTTAGTCGGAATTACTTGAATTGGTTCGAAGGTTTTCTTTCTTTCCTAATTTTATCAGCGTAGATATGAAAAGTCTGTGGTGAATGTTATAACGAATCTGCTAATTCGTACATTTTCCATTCTTTTTATCATGCATAATCTTATCTCTCGTACAATTATCAAAGTATTCAGGAAGTAGTATTCCTCGTTTTCTTGCGGTGAAACGTGCGTGGACTGATATCGTATTGTACTTGATTGTAAAGTGAGATCACCGGGTTTCGTTATTCAACGATGTACGATGAAACGGAGAAATCTATTCGAATGACTCGGCAACGCGTTTGATAATGTTGTCAGAAAGAAAAAAATAGTTAATTCAGACGGAATATCGTGCAAAAGTCAAGCGTGTTGGGATTTGTAACGAGTTCGCGTGTTTGCGCGAAACCGCAAGCTCGTCATCGCGATTAACGCTGCGTGATGATATCGATATTCGAGGCACGTCTGATTTTGTCTTTTGCTTTATTTTCGCGCGTAATTAGTGGGAAGAATTTTCATATTCGAGAAAGGAATTCGTAGTGCGATCGAAAGTCGAAATTCACACGTTCCACGATGGAACCGAAGCGTGAATGAACGGGAAATTTGTATTTTACAACGAAATTGCAATCTATCCTTAAATTATGTAATTGAAGAATTCAATGAACTCATTGACTGGGTATAGTCAGGCGCTCTATAATTATAATTAGGATATATCAATTTTTAATTGACTTTTTCCACTTGTTATTTTGCAAATTGTTTCGCTGAATGTTATCTCGAGAACGTTGAACAACAGACGCTCTAAAAATTGCAAAATGTTATTGATTCACCCGATTACGAAACTGGCGTAATGTAAATAACGCGGTGAGCGTGATTTCTAAATAAAACTATGTACGTAAACAATGTTGTTTTGAAGTTTAATATTAATAATAATTTAATAATTAACGGGTAATTTAACAGGTGAAGCCACGCATTATCACACTAATCTTATAACGGAATTGTTAATGACATTAGGAGTTAAAGATACTTAACAAGTATTTTATCGCGTTGTTATTAATGCATTAATGCATAAATATTTTATTCTTTAATCTAACGTGTAATTTTCTCTCCAATTAATTGACGCGTTAAAGCAGATATGGCGTCAGCATTATAAGAGCAAACAAAGAATAACGAAATATTAATCTCATTCTCAGAAATACCTAATCCGAACAATGACGTTTGTTCAGTAACGAGATTGGAAAATTTATTTTCTTACTTGCTATGAATGCTTCCGTTTAAAATATAGGATATGCTTGTTTGTTTTAGATATGAGAGGCTGCTCAGAAGAGCAAAGACAGAGGATCTCTCTGAAGTTTCAGGAATAGGTTGCCTGTATCAGAGCGGAGTTGATCGCCAGGGTCGACCTGTGGTCGTATTCGTCGGCAAATGGTTCCCTGCGACTAAAATCAATCTCGACAAGGTAAGATTCAAGTTTATAGGGGCCTCAAAGCCAAGGTTCGACAATCAACTCCAGGCTGAACCTTGCCTTTACCATTTCAATGTTCATAAAATACATTTAATAACACTGCATTCTTGGATCCTTATCAAGGTTATAGAAATATCCAAATTATTACGCTCCTTTATTAATGGATAATTAATAATATATGGGATGAACCCTCTTCGTAAGACGGTGACAATTGATTAATCAAATTTTGAAAATCTATATTTAATATCTAAATAATTTGATTTTTCCAATGAGACCGATTTTCCTCAATTTTTTAAATATATAATGAAATAAAAGTTGCACCAATTTTCCCCGAATTTCCCGAGTCACCCTAGTAAATTGATTGAAGTTCAAGCTGTGCGTTGAAAATAGTTGCAAGTCGAAGGAAAACGAGTGCCAGCAACGGAAAATCAATAAGTATGTACGTGTATTCTATTGTTGGTTAGTCGAGCAGGATCGCCTCTTTTATTACGGACTGGCGTGTTTAGCAGTTCTTTACAAGCGTCGATCGATCCGTTTAGCACAGTTCTCGCCGACAGCAAATTGCTTCGGTTTTCTTCGGCAAAATTCAACTTCGTCAATCGAATTTATCAATGAATTTTATTGCCCCACCCTCTATCCCCCACCTCTATTTAATGAAGGGAAATTCGACGTTACGGAGTGGCGTTTCATCAAATACCCTCGCTTCGAAGTTAATGAAAACGGTTATAAATATTTAACGAGCCATCGAGTCGAGTTTAAAGCGGATGTTTGCGAGCGAACAAGCGTCCACGAGAATTTCGAATGTAATTTGCATCGTGATTAACGATGATATTTCCTTGTCGCTTCTTTAAATTAACGATGATATTTCCTTGTCACGTCTTTAAATTAACGCGGTATTTAATAATTTTAATGTTACTTTCTGAAGAGAGATTATTAGTGGGAAAAGTATTCTTATTAAAATTTTGTAGAATGAAAATAACGAGTCTGCGTTGGGTACTCTATAATTTTAATTGTTAGCGGATCTGTATGGGTTATTAATGATCCAAATTGCAAAGGTGCTTTTGTGAAATTATTTTTGGTAAAAATCGATAGAATTTTAATGGCCAGAATCAGATGGCAATACTCGACACCGGGAATCGTTTAGAATTATCCATTTGATCTATTGAATATTTATTCCAAATGCCATTTGTTCGATAATTGAACTAAATTATGGTCGATTCGTTTCTGAACTGATCGCCACTTGACCATGCTGGGTGTCGTGTCGAATGGCCCTATAAATGAATCATCTTGCATCGCTAACTTTCGACCCTCGGCTGCAAGGTTCAAAGTTGAACGTGATCCACGAAAGTTCAAGTTCTGTTCGTGGGAATGCTACGAACGTTTGAAAATACATCGTTACGATTATATAACTTCCTTCATCTTTCTGTCGTCTCATTGAAAATGATAAATTACGTAATTGTTGTTGTTAAAACAGTGTACACTGTGATTAAAATTGAGTACGAATGAATGTCTTCTGTTATCAATGATCCACGTGTTCGAAGATGTGCCAAGCAGGTATCGGTTATTTTAACTGAACTGAAAATAGAATCGTTCTGAATAGAGAATAATAATTCTTTAAATACCCAAGAATATTCTTATGAATATTAAATTTAAATTAATTTTTAATTAAATCGAATACTTGAAATTGATAAGGGTTGATCCTACTTCAAAATTGATTATAAACAAATAGAATATCTGCAGTTTCAAGCTGAATTCATCTCTCGTGTCGACAATAGGGGACAGGAACGATCGTTAATCATGAATTCCTGATTCGCAGTAGTTCCCACGATCTTCTGCGTATCAATATCATCTTTGCTCCTTCCTATCTCGTCCCCTTTGCTCGTTGGTGGCAAGCCCACCACCGGCTGGCGAATCGATATTTACACGTCCAGAAATAGACCGACCACGGAACAGCCCCGAAGCGGAGGGCGTGCGAGCCAGCAATGTCGTCATGGGCTAATCCGCCCTGGAAAAGTTTGTTTTCATCCCTACGCCTGACCGTTTTTCTTCAACGCGGCGTCCTTTCAGAAGAAAGTATCGCAGCCGGAAATAGCCGGCACCGATCGAAATGGAAACACCTGCTCGACCTCGCCCTAATAGCACCTCTAATCACCCCTTTCCCCTGCGACATTGATCGATGGCCCGAAGAGGATCGATCACCAACTTTTCTTCACCATTTTTAACCGGGAATATTGCTTCGTATTTTCTTTTTTTTTTTTTTTTCTCTCATTAAAGGGCTAACGATAAGGGACGTTTCAGAGAATTAGAAAACACAAAATTTAAAAGGTGTTTTTCTCGAGTTTCACAAATTTCAATTCAGTTTCTAAAATTTTTCAAATTCCAAGGGGTTCTAAAATTATGAAATGCCAAAATTATCAAAGCATCTCCTCAATTATTCCCTCGACTGTTATGCAATGATCGAGGAGACTGTCAACCTCGATCCTTGCAACGACAGATAAGGTATTTAAGAAAACGACGTGGAGTGATGTTGAAAGGGCCAGACGATGGAAACCACGGGAGCAATCCTCCTATAAATGTAGGTCGCTGTCCGAGATTCAAGGACGCAGTAGATCATTCTCCCTCTGACCTCGCGAACGGTTCCAGGTCACGCGTTTATCGGTTGGCATCCGGTGAAAAGTTGCACCGAAAGGATGTGCTCGAAACCACCGTTTCGATGAATCGGTTCATTAGATAACCTTGCCTACTGACGTATAACGTATCGACAACTGTCTCGAACGAAACACTCGGAAGGTTCGCCTTCACAAACGTGGAAACTGATTTCTTTTATTTTGAAACGATGATTTCATTTATTTGTATGAATTTATCGAACACGTTGATGGCTAGTGTGACAAAATAAAATTTGCGAATTTTACGATCCACGTTTTGAAGTAACTGCCTTGAGGATACAAAGTGCAAGGAATTCCAAATGAATCTATACCTATTAGTTATTTCCGGGGCGTACGGCTAATTTTGTGTCGAGTGCCTTGAAACGAAACGAGAGAAAAATTCCAGAGTGGTAGAAGGCTGTAGCCAAAAATAAATATCACTCATCTACATTCTATTTTATAAACATCAAACTACCTGTATCGGCACTTCTATGAAAAAGACAAAATTAACAAAAATTTTATAAAACATTAATATTATTATTACTATTATATGTCCACGACCCTTAGTTCACAGCTAAGGTGTTAATTATAATTACAACGAGTCTTACTACACATTGTTATTTTCACTCTGACAATAAACGTGTAAAATATTCCTATCATTAGTCACACTGGCAACAGAATTCTCAGATTTCTACCTTTAGTCATGAAAATGAAAAAGAGAAACATAAGATAATTTCTCGTTTCTTTAATTGATTTGTTTCTTGTTTGTAAAATCAGTTGCATCAATTTTGAACAAAGTGACAAATATATCTAATCAACTATCTTTAACTCGATTCAACGGGTACAATATTTATTGTAAAAGTTTTGAAATTTCTTTTTCTTTAAACAGCTTATACGAACGTAGAGGGCAACTCAGCCAATGAACGCTAATTACACGTGTTGACGAGATAATTAGGATTTCAGGGTCGCGATACAGATAGTGAATATTTAAAGGCTCGTCACGTTACTTGGCTTAATTTTATGCCATCGTTAAATTATCGATATTTAAGCTTCTTGTTTGATAAGATACAAAGTCTTCGGCATTGTTTAACATAGCTTTGCATATCTCTTTGTCTTCCTCTCGCCTTCGAGCAGGCGCTGAAACTCTTCTCTTCTACCTTTTGTTTGACGCGATAAAACTTTGTTTGCTTCGAAGCTTTTTCTCCCGAGGAGATAAAGAAAGAGTTTCGATCGATAGTACGATATTAATTCAATTTTTTTCTTTTATGTTCCGCTGCACCAGTCGACGTGTTAATCAACAAAATCACCGGTTTCGAGGAAAGATACAGAAGCCACTTTTGTGCTCTCCTCTCTTACCTTTCATTTTCTTTCCATGATTTCCGTCTGTATACAGCGTGTATACAATAGAAACTTGGAGTTAAATAGATCTTCGGTGCTGACAGTGCTGGGCGAATAAACGTGACCTCGATTGAAAATTGAACAATTCGTCTGATCGTTCGATTTTCCCTAAGGATTGCTGACTCTGTCATCAAACCTTTAAATTGCATTCATTGAACTCTCGTACAAATAACACTGTTATCGTTCTTGATTATTCCGGCGAGGAACGCGAATCGACCACGTAATGGTACGTTTAATAAGGAAACACATTGACGTCATCGTTCGACGATGATTCGGTTCGTTGGATAAACAATGCGTCAGATGTGTCAATAGAGATAAAATACACGTGTTTGTTCATTCTGGTATTTCTATTATTTGCATGCTATAAATTTTCCATCTTTATCACTTTTACAAATTTAGTACACGTGCTAATTACTCTTCTAATTCCTCGATTTTTCATTAGGACGGATAAATACATTGTTAGGATGATCAACGAAGTCCTTGAACTCCCTAGTGTTTTGTTTCCAATTTTATTGGCAACCTCGCAAATTCAGCACATTTTAAGGGTGCACCAGTCGTTTCCAAAAAACGATTTCAGCTGATAATGGCTGGCAGAGTTTCAAGATTCGTTCTGTTTCAAAATGGACAGCAATAATTTCAGATAAATGTTCGGTTAACGATATTTTCAAGAACCTCAATTTTTATTTCATTTAATTTCGACAATAATACCCTTAAAATTTTCCAACCCTTCCCTTTAAAGCTTTTATTAAAACACGTCTGACGACCCATATAGATTAAGCAGCGTCCATAATATCGGATTAAAATACACGCTTGACGTTCTGACGTCACGATCAGAACGAAAGGGGAAAAGTTGCAGGGTTTTGTAAGTTCCTTGAAAACAATATCAGTTAGAAGTTCTTTTTTTTTCTCTGAATTTCGTATTCACACAAAAACGTACCATTTTGTGGCAACCCTTTCTCAACCACTTTTGCCCTTTCAATCGCGAGGCCTCCGACCTGATTTCGTCACGATTCCAGCCTCCTGGCAGGGATGTGCACCCCAGAGTACTAATTCGAGGTGTAGCGTCGCGATATCGATTAAAACGCAATGACGAGTGCGCTCTGTTGGGATCAAAAACTTGTTTGCGAACGTTTCACGTTTGTTGCTACGTTCACTGGATTTCCAAAGTAACAAGGGTAATTACGAATTTCGAGTTCAATCGGTGTTTGCAGAGGGATGAAGTGGATGTTCGTTTCGCAGAATATTGGCAAAAGAAGGGTAATTTAACAGAGGGATGAAAGAGATGTTCGTTTTCTAGAATATTGGTAAAAAAGGGTAATTTCGTATAGGGACGAAATAAAATGTATTTTTTAAAAGTAGATTTATAAAGTAGCAGAAGAAAATTATATTTTTTAATCTTCTTTTAATTGATAAAACGTGGATGTGGGTTCTCCTTTTTTAGAATATTAAGAAAAGGTAATTTTGATTTTATCCGTTTGAAGGGTAGATTTATGAGACAGAAATCTCTTTCATAGAAAAGAAAATTGTTTCTTAATCTTTCTGTCGAAAGATGAAACTCGAATATAGGTTCACGTTTTGTAGAATATTGAAGAAAGAGGATATTTTATCCTTTTGAAAAGTAGATTCTGAGGGTAGGAACTTGCTCCATGGAGAAGCGGAGGGAGAACAATTTTTGGTTCTTTTTCCGAGAGATGAAACGAGGATATACTGCTTTCACAGAATATTTGGAAGAGAGGATAGATTCATAAGATAGAATGTGGATGTAATTTTTTCAAAAACTGAAGCAAGGGTATGAAGCAAGGAGTAACATTTGTTTGTTTTTTATCTGCTTTCAGAAATGGAATATGGCTCGTTCCATTTGCATAACCCGCCTTTGTATACTTATGCTATAAGGGGTGCCATAAATTTCATTAATCTTCCCGATCTACGTGATATTGTTCTACGAAAAATTTCTGAAAGCTGTGAATTCACCGCAACACGATGTCGATGTTAAATAAGCGAATAAAACGAACGCAACAAGTGAACAATTATTGAAATATTAAATAAGGGTTCTTTTTATTTTACAATTAAATAAAGCCTTTGGTCAGAGAATAAATGGTTTAGAAAAAGACATTGTATTCGCTGTAAATATTCTGTCATTTTATTTTTAATTATACCTTTATCATTTCATATTGTTGTTATTTTCAATCGTGAGTGAAACACGAATATTATGTATAAAATCTAGATCGTACTAACAGGAAACATTAAATTTCTGTTACAGGCGTTGCTGTATCTGATACAGTTGTTGGATCCAATTGTAAAAGGCGACTACGTTATCGCTTATTTCCACACGCTAACGACCAGCGGTAACTACCCTAGCTTGCACTGGTTACGAGAAGTATACAACGTGCTTCCCTACAAGTGAGTCTCACCATTTCCTGAAATTCTAACAAAAATTCGAATATTTAAACACCGGTAGAATTTGGATTTCAATTGCAAATGTGCAATTTGGATTGCACTTCTATTTCATTCCACCACCATCAATCATTTTAAGAAATGATAAATACTTTGATCCTTATTCATGGAAATTGAATATTTTTTTGCAACTTCGTGTACATGTAATGCTATATGCGTGTTAAATAATCTATCATGATAATCGGAATGATACATCATTTGTTTATGCGTAATATGACTTGGTGACCATGAAAATATAGATTTGTCGGATAAGAAGAATCACTGTAGCTGAGTTTAGAATTTCAGAGAATATTTCGTCATTTTTATTACATTTTCCTTCTCTTTTTGTTACAGGTACAAGAAGAATCTTAAACACTTCTACATTATTCATCCGACTTTCTGGACCAAGGTTAGTACTTTAGTTGTTTAACCTTTTCGGTATTACTATATGTATTTCCATTTGGAGCTGACTATATTTTATTAAAATTTAGAAATTACATCATGCATCGCGTCATTGATTGCTAGCTAAGATAGTCTGATCATTAGGCATAATCTACTTAACAAAGTCCGACCACACAGCGCAGGGGTAGTCAATCTTTTTATACCCACCGCCCACTTTTGTATCTCTGTTAGTAGTAAAATTTTCGACTTAGCTAGTCGACTACTAATCGCAGTCGCATAATGATGACGTATCTACCCCGAAACTACGTAGTAGGATTTCATTATTTTGTATTTTAATTTGTGACTCGTTATAAAATATAAACACTAAAGAGTTTTATGAAAACCTAATGAAAATGTTTTTAAATAATGCTATGAAAATTTTTTAAACAATACTTTAAAAAATTTCCATTTCAATGTTTTTAAAAAATCAATTAAACTCAAAAAAAGGAAACTACTTCAGTATCGGACAAAACCCCTTCCGCCCACCATGAATGCTGGAACGCGCGGTAGGGACCAGGTTGACTACCACTGACGTAGCGCGTCTATCTCAAAAGGTTTAATTACTCTTTTCGATCAATTCATTATTAATTCGTAGTAGTTTTATGTATAAAAAAATGTGTATTGCTATTTTCCTTATGTAAGAAACATTTTCACGGTGTAATACTTCAAGAAGATAAAGATTCAAGAAATGGAAAATTTTGAAGATTCATAGACATGTGTTTACAGATATTGTTACATAAAAATTGTATTCTATTAATGATCGAAACGCTTCGCAGAATCTAGTCTGTTCATCCTCCCATGTCAAAGATTCTTCATCTTCAAGGCTGCTCGCAGCTAAACTTTGTATCGTTCCGTTCCATGTATCGATTCAGGCGTTGATAAGGCGCTACTTTAAGGCGTAGAAACACGCGGTGAAACTCGCGTTTCTCACGAACGATCGTATCGAATCTTCCGACCCCCTTCCGGTAGAGTCGGTTAGCGAATACATTTTGCGCTTTGCTATTTGCGAATACGTTTTGCTAACACGATCTCGGGATTCCTTGACCCGCTGCGAGGCCAATTATTATCCTTTGATTTGATTTCTGTATTGCTTAGCTTCCAATTAACTAAATCGCCTATTATAAAAAGTCCAAAAATCTTGTGCACTCTTAAGAAGAACCCACATTATCCATACGATAAGTTTAGAATATTTTTAATAAAAATTTGCCTATTTTCACGTTATCTTTTACAGATGATGACATGGTGGTTCACGACGTTCATGGCACCAGCCATCAAACAGAAAGTCCACAGTTTACCCGGAGTGGAGTACCTTTATGAAGTTATGTCGCCAGACCAGCTAGAAATCCCAGCGTATATTACAGAATACGATATGACGGTAAGAACATCCTTCATTTTTACAAGATTGCAGAAGTAATGTCAAAGAGACTTTGATGGAACCAGAATATATTTTTATTTTAAATACAATATCATTTTAAAGCATTCCAAATTATTCCTTATGAAAAATGTTCATTTTTCAACTTATGCCACTATCGATACCAAGAATCTATAAATATAGCAATGATAAACAATTAATTTTATTAACAAGGCAAATACTCCACTAAAAAATCATTAAACCATCAATCAGAAAAACCTCCAGTTATCTACTTACATTAGCACTAGGGATGTGTGGCCCGACTGATGTGCCGGGTTCCCGACAAGTCGGGTCGGTGGAATTTTGGAATAAGATAATTTTTATTATGAGGAAAAATAATACATGTAAAGTTCCATATAAAACAGATTTTGCACATGCTTATTGCAAGTATTAACAAGTATGTACATGAGAGTTGTGTCACGGGCCGTGGCCCGCGGGAGCTCGTCCGAATCAGCCCGATTGTACCCAACTGAACCCGAAATAGTCGGGCTACTCGACTGCACGCATGTATCGGACGCCCGCCCGAGCCCGTAATATCGGGTAACCCGCACATCCTTAATTAGCCCACATCACATCCTGCTAATCTCCAGAAACGCAATCTAAAAATCCTCTCCGGTATCGTGGTACTCGCATGAAACAAGAAGCATTGGTTAAATCAAGACCGCCTAAATGTTGCAGATAAACGGGATGAGGTATTACCAACCGGACCCAATCTCCTCGTCACCGTCGACATCTACGTAACTTTCCGACAAAGATTGCCAGCCTGCGAAGCACTGGATCGAAGAAAGTCGAATCGACTGTTCCGGATAGTACGGTTTCGTGCGTGTTTCCTCTACGACCATCTCGAATGCCCGCTTCCGCAGAAAAGCGCGTGTCCGACACGCGAAACCTTCGGTCGACTATCAACGAGATAACTCGTCGATGAGGAGGGCTCCTCCAAAGCACCAAGGCATCCGCGTCGCTTCGAAGAAGCTCCTCGCGATGGATGGACTGTGAAATAGGAAAAGAAAAAAAAGAAACGTCGGATGCTTCGCGTGTTTGTTCGCCAGTCGATCGTTGAAGAATCAAGAAACCACTGCCCTTCGTCATCAGGTGTTTATTGCTGGAAAAAATAGCTTCTCCGATTGGCTTAGATCTCGCTGAAGTTGATTTTGGACAATCTTAGACAGACACCAAAAGAATGGAAGGATCTGAGGTGGTTTTAGGGAGGATTGAAAATTGTTATTCGCTGAGAGGTGCGAGTGTCGGCTGCCAAAAACACCAATAATCAGTATTCTCGTCGTTGTTATGATAGAGAGGATATTTACCCTTGAATGTTAATGCTGTTCGTGGATTCAGAACGATAAAGACAGGGTCACGATACGTCGAATAGAGAAGAGAGTTGACGACATTATTGTAGAGTTTCAAATCAGACGGCTTAATATACGAACTGTCGATCGCTTTCCTTTTATTTTCTTATCCGTCGTTGTACAGCGAAAGAGTTTATTCGATTGAACGTATGTATGTACTGATATTTTATTATGTCACGTCGTTGATGAATAAACGTCGAATATTTTCGATATACGATCACACAGAGCTGTATACGTAAAATTCTGTGACCCCATTGGATTAAAGGATGATGCTGGATGATATACAGATTTATAATCAGCCTGTGTATCGTTCGATTTGTTAAGATTACATGAAAATGATCTGTAAAAACAGACAATTTACCTTCATCGCCGATGACGAATTCAATTCAGACAGTGGTCTTGATTCATTCATTAAAGATTATCATCTATTTTTAGTAAAGTCGTTTCGTTAATTAGACTCGTTTCACAAATTAGACAATATTAATAATACATTATATTTCCCATTTAATAAATTTTCAAATAATTATTTATTTTCATTTGTATATTCAAGATGAGTGTTGAGGTTCCATCTTTTAGTGCTAATGAATTAATCACTCGTTATTGCTTTTTAATTACAATTTAATACCGACAGTCTACTGCCAGATGGCTATAAATACAATTGTTTCATTTAGATTTTAAATAATCTGTGATGCCGTTAATCGAGTTACATCGTAACCGTCTAACGTTCTGCTCGTGCCAATAAAAAAAACACTGCAATTTTCCATTTCTGTTTATTCTACCTTCGTACAATTAATAAACCCGAAAGAATTTCATCCAAACGATTCGTCATCGACGCCCATTAATTCCTGAAACGTTCAACAGCTGAATGCCGAGCTCGTACTCGCGGTTCAATTCTAGATTAGATGAAGCAATAAATTTAAGAGCTTTCTCGCGAATTCGTATCCATGGTATACGTATAATTTCGTGGGACAGAATCGTTATACTCGTTGTTAAGCATTTTTAGGCGATCGAAATGGCGAAAAGCAACAACTTGTGTCGACAAGACCTGTCTCGATCAATCCATTCCTTCAACATTTTCTCTCTCGTCGTATGCTTTCTCGCGTTACAAATCGATTGGATTGATCGATGACAGCTTAGTCGAAAAAGAAAAAAAGAAAATTATATATGTATCCACGTAAATTTTCCATAAGTTTACCTCTGTATAATTGGAGTACGCTTGATCATTCAGATACTTTTTCTATTAATTTTTATTACGTTGGTGATGTTTCGTTAGAATAGCGTTAGAATAGAGTTTCATTGAAGAAAATAAAACATTCATCTTAAAATCATTGAAAAATCGTTTCATCGAGAGATGTTCGCTTTATATGAATAATTATTTCTCCATGTCATCATCTTTCGTTCGACGAGTGTCTCTTCCCCGATTTTTCTGTTGATCAAATAGCCCGAGTGACTCGTGGATGATTGAAAAGCATCGGAATTGTAGAGTGTATCGGCTCGTGGAACATTTTGCCGTTTTGCGTTTAACGACCTCACTGTCCGTCCCTGAATCGTTTCTAGTTGATAGACCGTCGGACGAGACTTCGTTGATCGTCGTCTATTTCTCAAACTGATCTACATTCTGAGCAAATAACATTAGTATTACATTATTAATAAAATTTTACTAACACTTTTCAAATGGTTACATGTGAAAATTAAGAAATTTGAATAAAATTAATATTTATTATATTAATAATGTAAGCTAACAAACTGAAAGTTTCAACCAGATAAAATAAAGTGAAAGGGTTGTTGAAAAGAATGCAGATTGATTGAGAGGAAAATGTTGTATGGTTCTGACGATTACACGTTGTTCTTGTCCCGGCTGTGTAATTATGTTGAAAAGAGTTGATCGTAAGAGACGTAAGTGAACGTGTCGTAGGCGAGGCGAGGTTTGTGACAATATGTAATTATCGCGTGCTTAAACGAGTGACGGCTGAGATTCTGTCTGAACCCTTTTAAAGTCTTAGTCTGGTCAAGTTGATTATGTCAGCCTGAATGGAGTTAAAAATCAGGAGAATTGAATGATAGGTTGTTTTAATTAAAATTAACTGGACTGAGAGCCATGGACTAATATAAAATATTAAGATTAATTTTAATAATATCTGGAATATTAATATTAATATTATTAATCGAGCGCGACATAGATTCGCAATGTCCATATAGAACGTGTTAATTTTAACTTGTTTTTAGTTTCAGATCATGCTACGACTTTAAAAGTGACACTCGTAAGTTAGGCTTTACGCTTAGAAGATAATCTTCGGCTTGACAAAAGTAAATCGAAACCGCTGTTGTTCCCTCGCTTTTAGAGGCCTCAAACCGGAAGCGATTAAACCGAACGAAGAAGATGAGCTTGTAAAACTGTGTCGTGTGTGGCGGTAGTTTTTGAACGGTGCTGTTATTTATCCTAGAATCCCGAGATTCACGTTTAATTTCCGAACTTTTCTCGTCGCGTACCTTCATCGTTCAAAACTGTCATCATTTTACGCTTTCAATCGTAATTTATTAAACGAACGATAAGTCGAAGACTTTGGAACGGAAGTCAATTCTATAGGAATATATGCAATTGTGGAATTAAAACATCTTTCTTTCTTCAGCCTTGTTTACGAAGAAATTAGTCTTGGAAATGATCGATAAATATTTTAATACAATTGGAAAGTACCATTGTAATTTATAAATATTCAATTTCAGTAAAAAGTGAGAATAATTAATTAACCTTGATAAATTTCAAATAATCAGTTAAAGTAATTGAATCTTAAATTTGTGAAGGTTCATTTGAATATTTAGTTCGCTTTTTCAATGTAAATTCATTGTTCACCTAAAAGTTGTTACTAAAGATACATCAATTCTTGCATATTAATTAGAACAGAACATCGAACAAATTTAACATTATCACAAATGAATTTTATATAAACAAAAATAAGAACAAACTATACAAATCCATCTTAAAGAATAAGTGCAGCCGAAGTTTCCATGGATTTGTACTTAATCTATCGCGCGAATTTATACGCTCGTTATATTCTTTTTTTTTTTTATAATAGACAATTTTTTACCAAGTCGTTCAGCTGACGAGAACGTAAGTTTCGGAAACTACACGTGCATTGTCGTGTGTATGTATACGTACGCAATTACGGTGTAACGGTTAATTAAATTGTAATTGTTGTCGCGATTGATATAGATTTTAATTAATCGAGGTATATTTTTCTCTTGGTGCCGAAAGGCCCGGCCTCTAACAGGTGCACACCTTGCCCCATCGTCTGTTTTTTTATAGATCGAGCAATAAACGTATTGTTTCAACCAAAAGTACCATGTATCGTGTAATTTATTCCCGGGGAATTTCTGTCGCTTGAAAAAACAAAAAAAAACAAATGCCCGGTGTTATCTTATCGTTCAAATTCTCTGTGCGATTTGCAGACCGTTACAGCATGCCAAGCATGATATTAAACGTGAAAAAATCATGTCTGAATATAAGGGAATTTTAGCGTGATTTTTTTAAATTTGTTCTTTATGATAAATTTATTTATTAAAATTTTATGATATTTAATGCTTAAAAATTATATCAATTTTTCTCTGAATCAATCTAATAGTATTTTCAAAATTATAATTTTCAGTGTTACAGCTCCCCCCCTCCCCGGGGAAAGTTCAAAAATCTTTTTAGGGTCTTTCTTTTCTAATCAAGGATAAGCTTTGGCAAAAATTTCAGAAAAATCGGAGGGTTGTCGCTTTCGGAAGTACAGTCAAGAAATCTCCTTGCACCGAACTGTACATATTGAACTTGTTCCCATTCTTAAATCGGAGCAATTACTAACCCATCGCTACCGAGAGTAGTTCTACTCCCATCAGACCGTGCTCATTGATTCAACCGCGTGCATGGGCGCGCGTGTGTTACTCGGAGCAGCGCGGCGGCGTACATTCACAAAGCCAGTCTTTCCTGTTTGTTACGCGCGACGCTGAACCAGTGAGCAGCGTGACGCCGAGCCGAGCGGAGAGGAGCGTTAGAATCCGCGTTGTTGCGCCTTGATTGCGAGTAATTGCATCCACAATCGCGATCAGGTGTTCGTTAACAGATAACGGTTGCCCGTGAATTCATTCGTTAGAAAAAGGAAAAAAGAAATAGGACGTGGCGCGTCTGCAAATATAGGCGAACTTGATAACAGGTAAAGGAACCGCGTGCTTGGAATTGACGTTCTTCCGAATGTCACCTGATCGTTTATTTTGGTGATGGTGACTCGTGGTCAGTTACTCGTTATTCACTCTGATAATTTTATTTTTGAGTAACGAGTCAATTCAACAGGAAGTTGAGTTAGAATGACTCGTGCACCTGTTGAAACTTTTCCTATCATGATTTGACAAATTTTTAAGTAAAAAGTAAAAGTGAAAGTAAAATTGTTTCATTACTACTTGAAATTTTAATCACTATAGTTTGTCAGTATTCTATTAATAAGAACTTTTGAAAATAGAAATTTTAATTATATTTTCTCATTATGTTAGCAAGGAATATAATTAAAGAATTTTTCATTCATAATTTCACTGTTAATAGACACGTGATGTCGGATCTGCTGAGACTTCTATTATCGTGATTTCTCAATTTTCTGTTTGTGACAAAAAATTTTTCTGAAATTTTAATCATCAATGACTTATGATCCTCTATTGATGTTCCTTGATTTCTGAGTTAACAAACATTTAGCATTGTTTATCCCCGTTTGAATACTTGTTTAGTAAACAAATGAAACGTCAATTCTCTGACCTGATAAAGTGACTAAAGACTTTCCCATGAGTCTGACGAAATTTCACAGACACATCGTTCGCTCGACTTCTAGCCAGCATAGTCATTTATTAATCATTCTTATAACGACTTCCTGATTTTCAACTTGGTCGTAACCTGTGCGACCGATATACCGTAACGAACTAATAAATTTACATTGACACTTATTTTATTGAGATAGTAAAATTTTAAATGATAAAAAGTGACTAAAAAATAATTTAATCAAGCTCTTTTGAACTAATTATCATATATTTACACTCTGAGATAAATATTTTTTTATTATCGCGTATATACTTATCTACCAATTTTATTGCTGCTAAAAAAAGATTCTTTATTGAAATGTTCTGCTGCGTGATTGTTGCACAATTCGGATTATTTATTTATTAAAATACAATCGAGCAGTGTGTCAAGGAATTCTTCACAAGGTGCTCCCGGGTTAAATGGCCAAGCTTAAAATATGAATTTGGGTCCTCAAAACAAACAAAAATTTCCTGTGGAAGTTTGCTCGCTAAACCTTCGTTCAATAGCTTCGTTCTGTGATCGATAGGAGCAATTCTTGTCTTCGAGCTGGAGGCTATCATTTTGAACAAAATATTAAATAATTATTTTGTTACTGTAAAACAATAAAGGAAGTAATAAAAGAGATAAACCTAGATTATTTAGGTATTATTCATTCCTATGATTCTGTAACTTAACAAGTCGATATCTCTTGAACGAAGCTTTAGCGAGCAAACTTCCACAGGAAGATACATATACAATCTTTTTATAAATATTTATTAAAAAATTACATCTTGAAGTTTACCGACAAAGAACAATAACATTGGCGAGTTCGTGATTTTTTTTCTAAACAATGGTAAACGGAATGGAAATTCTGTTTTAACAGAACGGTTATAAGTTCAACATGTGATAATAATTAAAATATAAAAATAGAAATTGCTTTTTACTCTTGAACAGGTGTAAAACAAACAATATTCGAAATCCTTGCAAAGCCGATTACAGGTGCGACAAAAAAGGTGTTCTGAAAGAACGGTCATAAGTCCAACATATTGTAATAAAAGTATAAAAAGAGAAATTGCTTTTTATTCTTGGACACATGTAAAACAAATTCCTTTAAACAGAATTTCTATTGCGTTAAAAAGATTTCTCCGAACGTTGTAAAACGTTTTTATGACTCGTATATGGTAATATTATTTTACGACATTGTACTATAAATCCGTCAACCGTGGCCTTTGACTAGTCAAGTGGTTCTTAATTTTTTCAAAATTATGTACCATTTACAATTTTACAAAATTTTTGCGGAACAATAAAATCATAAAATAAAACGGTGTATATATTTTTTATATTGCATAATAAATAAAAATCACATACGTAATAGGTTACATATCAATCAATAGCAAACAAAAGGTTAAAAATTGTCACAATTTTTTCAATGGGATATTTTGGCGAAACACTTTCTCTAAGTTCACGGATCACCGGTTAAGAACCAGTGGACTAGTCTAAAATAACTGTTCTATCACAGTAAATTATGTCTATTTTATTAAAATAGATACTATTTAAATACTTAAATAATGAATTTTTGAAAAGATTATTCTTTGGCCAGGTGTTAAATTTATTCTGTCTCCTTTAAGCGACAGATCTTTTAGTCTCTTATACAAGGAACATTTCTTGGATGAATTTTTTTCACTTATGCAAGCTATACTTTGTAACAGGAACATTAATCATTACTTTTCGTTTGTACAAAATTTACATAATCTTGGCTAATCATACCGTACCTTAAAACCGTTGCCTTTTAACATTTAATCACATTAGCCATAATAACATCGAGTCACACTTGTGACGCAACTAATAGTTCAAATGTGACAAATATGGTTGTGTTTATAGTAAACTCGAATTTTTATTTCAGGAATCTTCAATTTAACGTTCTATCAGTGGATAGTTACCTCTGGGTAATTAGCAAGGAATTACAAGTCAATTGTTGTGTTTGTAAAAAATTAGCAATATTAGTAGTGTTCGTATTTTAATTAGCACCAGATACCATGTATACTGATAAGGTAAAACAATGGTAATGTGAATACTTCGTGTGGAAATTACAAATAGGTGACACCTACTATCAAAATGGTAATTTTCCTTCTCCAACGTTTAAAGCTTATTAACTAGCTTTTGAACTGTGAATTCAAGGAGATTCTCATTAACTTACTTTAAGAAATAGATAATAAGGAAACATCCTAATTTTATTAAGATATCAATTGAGAATATTAGAAATATTTGTTAGGACAGTTCATTTTCTAAATGAATAAAAAATAAGTTAATATAATTATAAACGACCTATGTCAGATTTTTATTCCAACGATCCATTATCTTTACGTAACATTCTTTCATGGAATATTCTGAAAAGAACTGGGATACTCCATTTGGTTTGGAGATTAAAATTTCAGGAGAACAAGTAGCGTTACTAGTGAAACCTCGGGGTCAGTGACTTTCTAAGCACACTATTCTAATTGTAGGTTGAGAAACCACGAGTAGCTGTATACACGGTTATGTCCATCGATTTTTTAAAACACTATTCTCAGAGCGTAGCGAAGTAATCGATGCAACACGTGGATGTTAACACTTTATCGCCTAATATTATGTATTCGTGATTTTGATATGTAAGGAGATGGCTATCCAATACGTTAGACGACCCCCATGATCCCGGCAAATTTTTACACCATGGAATCCATAGAATAGGCCACTAAAATGATCTGTACCAAGTTTTATCCAATTCGATTAATGGGAACATGGTCAAAATGGCGGTCAAAGTTGACCCTTTTAACATGGGGCTCTATGGAGAGTGGTCGAAATCGTGCTTTCGACATCCTAGTTTCCGGATATGTTAATCTAGACGATAATACCTTTCAAATGAGCCCATGGACATCAAAATCGTCAAACGGTACCTTGGTCAAAACCCGTTATGAAGAAATGAAAGAAATCGATGATTTTAAAGATTTTCGCCATTTTGACCATGTTCCCATTAATCGATTTGGATAAAACTTGGTACAGATCATTTTGGTGGCCTATTCTATGGATTCCATGGGGTAAAAATTTGCCGGGACCATGGGGGTCGGCTAACGTATTGGATAGCCATCTACTTTGGTACGCTACTGGTCTTCACTTTGTTTCTGTATTAACCCATTTGCTACCACGATCCCCAATTGGGGATTTGAATATATATATTTTTTTTATCGCTTGCAATAGGATTATGTTAAATAAAATGTTAAATAAAAACTTCAAAAATAAAAGTTTGCCAGTTAATGGGTTAAGTCATTCTGGAAGTTCCTATAGCTTTACTCTGTTTCTTTTTCTTATGGCACGTAATGGCAATTTTAAGAGAATAGAGAAATATATTTCAAAAACTTTTTTTAAAGTTTTTACCTATTGGTAGAATAAGAAATTATTAAACTTCGTCTAGACAAACACTCCTAAAAGTATCATTCTTATTTACAGTCAACCATCTGAGTATAAAGTCCCTTACTATGAATAATTCTGTTGACTCAACAAATTAATTTCGGCGTAATCTAACTTTTAGTTGATATCGTTTGCGTTGTTGACGATATCGAATAATTGCCTTCCTATTATTGATTTGATTTCAAACGGTTCTATTAATTAGAAAACTATAATTGAAAAAAGTACCGTAAATTTCATAGCTTCATAAATGCAAAAATGTACATTTTTTACAGCAATTTAATTGTTACGACTTTATCCCCTGACAACTGTTTACTAGTAATGGTAATTTTATTACAAGTTTAGAATGCATTAAAGAAGTATATTTAAATTGTATAAAAATTCCTTGGATTTACCCACATCCGTTAATAATTTCAAACGAATCACCGTATTAATGATATCGTGAATTAATGATTTTTGAATAATCATTGTATCTAAGTTAATCTTTACGTACAAGGTTCAAATAATTCTAATATACATCTCTACAGCTTATGAATTTATATTTCCATTTATAACTAAGAGAATTTATAATGAATTTTTCAACATTTTTCTGCAATATTCTATTCAAACTATAAAATTTCACTTGATGTAAAAAAGGGTTCAGTATTGCAAGAGGTAATAATTAATATTCCAACAAACGAGTTTCAAAAGCATATCATTTTAATATTTTCCTTGACTTGGAGGTCATTTCTGTTTGCAAACAAAATATTTGTCTTAGCAGAATTTAAAAGGATAGCTTTGCAGGCTATAACACGTAGTGTAATTATGAAATGAAAGGTGAAAGTAGAAATGCTTCAATATTTGTTAATTAGTTCCTTTTAAAAAGAGGAAAATGAAACGTTAATACTTAAACGCTCATGGTGAACTTATACTGGTCGTTTTACTAATCTCTGATATTTAGTTAATCTTTTCCCGTAAATATTTAACATGATCTTTATGAAGATTTCTACAAATACAACGAGAAATAAAACAGTATGTACTTGAGAAAATTCTTCTTGAATAAAAATTGAGATTCAGCTTCATGAATATTTGATACATTTGTACATTACATTAATTTAAATGTGCGCCTAGTACAGTCAACATCGAGATACAATAGAAAGAGTGCAGGGTAAAGTTTCTGTTATTTCAGATCATTGACCGTGAGTTATCAGATACGTGAGTGAAACGAACTGTGAATTCAACATTTCTATTTTTATTACTACAATATATTATACTATATTGTGCTATCGTGTACTTGAAATTAGTAAATTTTCATGCAATTACAAATTCGGGTAGAAACGAGTCTTATGAGAGGATTGATCCCAAATGTTCTAAAACATGTTATTGAAATTTATATATTTGTATTTGTAATATAAAAAATTGGCAAGGGTTTAATGTAAAATTTGGAGTTACCATTCGTGTTGCAAAAGAAATATTGAAGGTAATTAAGAAAGTAAGTGAAGAGAAATAAGAGAATGGCACACGATATATCTTTTCACAGATCTGATGACGGAACTACTTTGATGTTACACTAAAAGAGCTCGAAAAAGAATGGAGATCTTAGGTATAAAATTTGCACCGTTGAATGTGCCGTTGAAACGAAGACTGGAAACGCTGTCAGTCGCGATATGGATCATTTTGTTGGCTGGTGGAGACTTACTGGGTTACTTGGCCACTGCCTATATTCTCTTCTATACAAAGACCTTACGTTATTTCATGCTGCTCTATTTTATTTGGATGTACTATGACTGGGACACGTGTGAAAAAGGTGGTAGAAGGTAAGATATCATTTATTCTTAATTAACTAATACAGGTAATCAGTCTTTAGAAATTAGAGAAATAATTATCCTTAGAAATATTTTACCTATATTATTATTTCATACAATTTTTTTATATCATGCTTATGTTTCCTACTGATCTGCAACAAGAAAATGAAATATTTATGATTCCAGTATTATGTCTTATCACTGTAGATTTCACTGGAATGATAAGCCAAGTTTCTTATCAAGCTAAAGATATACGAATTATATTGTGAATGATGATGACATATGAATAAGTGGTTGGATATTCACTTGAAAATTCTTCAGAACTGATATCCGATTTACAAACAATTTCACAGAAAAAATTATACATTTCATTTGCAAAACAAATGTCTTAATCAATTTTTCAAAATAGTTCTCTGAGAATGTTTGATTATTGCAATTAACAAAAATCATTTTTATTTCAGGGAAGTATTGACCAGATGGTTGAGAAACTGCACCTGGTTACGGTATTTCGCCGATTATTTTCCCGTGACATTGGTGAAAACCACGGATCTAGACCCAAATAGAAATTATTTGTTCTGTTGTTTTCCTCACGGAATATTGGCAACGGGAGTTTACGGTGCTTTCGGGACCGACGGTCGCGGTTGCCGAGAAATGTTTCCGGGTCTGGACATCCGGGTCGCGATTCTAGATCAACACTTCAAGATCCCTCTGTTTCGCGAGTACGTTTACCTGAACGGTACGTGCCATTCTCCGTAAACGAATACGTAATAATCCTTTGATAAATGAGTTTGTATTTAATTAAAATACAGGCGGTATCGGCAGCAGTTCAGAGAGTTTAAGCTATCAGCTGTCGACGAAACCTGAACCACCGTTTACTGGAAAAGCGGTGATCCTAATCATTGGTGGAGCATCGGAATCTTTAGAATGTACACCAGGAAGTTATCGTCTTCTCGTAAAAAGGAGGAAAGGATTCGTAAAGCTGGCACTGAAGCATGGGTTAGAATAATCATTTACAAATTTTCAGTTAATTATAATAATCATAATTACTATTTCCAATATCACAGAAAATTAATTGGAGTTCTCATAATAAAATTACAGATTTAATTAACTTTTTTCATTTCATTAATTTCAGGTCAGCCTTGGTACCAATCTTCTCTTTCGGAGAAACGGATATATACGATCAAATATACGGTGCCGAGGGTACACGTCTAAAAAAGGTGCAACATTTTATACGTAAGGTGATTGGAATCGCGCCTGTCCTTCTGAAGGGTCGTGGATTTTTCCAGTATTCATTCGGCATTATCGCTCGTCGGAAACCGGTCACCGTCGTTGGTAAATATTGTACAATAGTTAAGGAGATTCTGTACTTTGCATACATATCAATGTTAATTAAAATTTGCATGAAACATTTCGAAACGATAGTTCGTGCTCGTAGACATTAAAAAAGAAATGTAACAGGTGTCGATGCATGCCATTGATCGTATAATTAGCTACTTTAAATAATCAGATCATTGAATATCAAGGTTTTTGGTTAATTATAGAGAGTTAATTTTATACGTTTGAATCTTCTCTTTATTTCAGTCGGAATGTGACGATATAATACAATTTTTATTTATTGTTACTGAAAAGTTTCCACTTGATACACTGATGATTTAACATTTCTTTTCTTTTCTGGAAATAAAAGAATTTAAACTTCCTTTCTTCCAGTTGGTAGTCCAATGGAGGTGCCAAAGATACCCGAGCCAACGAAGGAGCAAATCGACGAGTACCATGAGAAATTCATCAAAAAACTGGTGGAGTTATTCGAAACCCATAAGCACAAATACATTGAGAACGCAGACTCGATACACCTCGAGTTATTATCGTAATAATGAATCTTGAAAAATGAAACACAAACTTCAGAAGATTCCATCACAACTTAGAATCAGATTCGAAAATTCCTGATAGAATTCCAGTACTTGTGAACGACTGTTTGTTTCCATTCGTCAGTTCGTAGATTTGTTTAGTAAATCTGCGTAAGAAAGAACCAATAGAATTAAGAATACGATAGCGATAGAGAATACATTCTCTCCTTTAATCCGAAAATGGTGATGGCTTTAAGCGATATTTGCTCAAATAACTGATAGATAAAGAATTGTAAATGAAGGTAGCATAGAATTGTAAATTAGAAAAAGCAAGGGAAACTTGCTTGTTAAATATAACGGGTATATAGAACTTTTAACCCTCGAATGGCGATGGGAAGAGGTCAATTGTGACCTCTATAAAAATAAAAAGGGCAATATAAAAGGAGACCCTATCAGTCAAGTGTAAAATTATACTTAATATTCATTCTATGATTAATCCATGACGATAAAATTTTTTTTTAATTTACTCTTTAAAATTAAAATATTGAAAATTATTAAAATTTTAAGTACTGGAGTAATGTAACAAAAAAAGTTAGGCACTTGTAGCCATGATAAATTAGAAACACAAGGAATCTGTTGGACAGGATTTATTGAATTAGGTAGAATTACAAGTTCAGGGTTTAAGATACAGTTGCTTCCATTTATTTGTGCAAAACATTTTACAGTGAGCGCAATGCTTTTAATTCTCCCGTTCGACAGGCTTCCAGATATTATCGTCTTACCTTGTCCTCTCTCTCGGATAACAGCAAGCAAAACAGGCCGAGTCGGTCGCGTGCCCTTAATTTATATCCGTTCGTTGCTATCTGCGATCGGCGTAATCAACGATCACGTTGTCAAGAATGAATTTGGCGTTTCCCGCGCTCGCGTTCCGCGTCTCCGCCTCCGGCGATAGCCAATATGTACTCGAATATTCGAGTTGAAAATTCATCCTCAAGTAAATCGAAGTTTTACGACGGCTCGAATATTCGAGTACATAGTTCGATTTTTTCGAGTAGCTCGCTTTTGTTTCAAACAGTTCGATCAGACCGATCATTGTTTGATTCAAAATTCGAGTACTCGAATAAATCGAGTACTCACACCTCTAATTGTTACACACTTAAATTTTTGTATAAAAAATTTTCATATATTTAAAAACTGATATCTATGGAATAATGTGATATTTAAACTATAAATCATAGGGGTTGGGTCGTCAAAGCCATGGTTCCTCCATTCGAGGGTTCAACTAATCGCCAATTAAGTTTATATTGTACTTTATTATAAAAATCAATACGCAGACACTTACATATCCCTGTGATTGTGCACATTGCACATCCGTTGTTTAATATAGAATACTATCTCCCGTGCGTAACTGAATGAATGGGGCTAATACTACCGCGAGGGTTAAAATACCCAAGCACCAACCAATCCTGCGTAATATCTGTATAGAAAGAACAAGATTCTTGTTCATCAATATGTTCGGATTAATTTGTACAATTTTTATGTTAAGTTTTAGATGATGTTATTAATATACATACCCTGTCCTGCCATTCCCTGTTCTTAATGCAATCGCGGAATCGCATTCGTGTGAAATGTACAGTACTGTACATAGGTGTCCAAACATCCGGTATGTGTTTGTAAAGAAACATGTCCAGGTGTTTGCGGAAAAGGAATGATTTCGTTCTTACTAAATCTCTCATCTGAAAATATTTCAACAAGAATTATTAGATACTTAGATACATTTTTATCGTACTTCTTAAATTTGGAGAATTTTTTAAATATAAAAATTATAATATTTAAAAATGAACAAATACCTCAATATAATTGTACATAGCAAGATCACATATTGCATGGGCATCATCGCATCGTAATTCAGTGAATTTCGGAAGAACCTTGCTAAAGTCGGAATCGTAATGCTCCATTAATCCATCGAGCAAGAGAACATCTTCGAATCCCTAATGGAAAATAAGAAAAGGATCGTACATTGAAGGTGATGTGATTTAAAATAATTTTTATTGAATAAAACTTACCGTGTTCATTCCCTGAGCGTAAAAAGGCACCATAGCATGAGCAGCATCTCCGATAATGAGGCTGGTTTTTCCAACATGATAAGGTTTGCACTAAAACACATTTATGACATATAAAATTTAAAAGACAAATCTTTTTAAAACTCCTGACATTTCAATATTTACCTTAACTGATATCAGAGCTTTAGGTTCCCTCTCAAAGTAATCCTTCACCAGTTTCTCTTTACTTATCAGTTTAATCAAATCCGGAAATTGCTCCTCGCAGAAGTCTAAAAGCGCCTGTGGTGTCGTCAGTTTATCCAAAGTGTCGAAGGGTGCAAATAAATTAGCAGTGAAGGTGCGATCGTCGTTCGGCAGAGCTATCATCATGAACTCTCCTCGGGGCCAGATGTGAAGATGATTGTTGCTCATCACGAACTTGAATAAAACATAAAATTTTCATTTTCATGTAATCCCAAAGGACCTATTTAATTTCGAAGGTGCTATATGTAGGAGAGGGGAGAAGAAGGCGTTTCGTCTCGGGAACGTCAGTGGGGCTGGACACCCATGATACCGTAATTCGGAATTCCTATGTATTTGGACTGCATGCCGGGCAACCGCCAGCGAGAACACTGTCACCTCGCCGCCACCTAGCGGTACCCGGCCCGAACCAAAGGCGTCCGGGGAGACGAAATCCTCTCCCCATCCACTAAACGCTTACACAGAAAAATTTTACCTGGTTGTTTTTTCCAGGAGGAACGTGTAATTCTACGTATCCATGCTCGATATACGTCTGACTATAATCAAACCGTGGCCTCCTAGTCATTATTTTCCTGATCCTCGAATAAGCACCATCAGCACCGATCAACAAATCAGCTTGTAATTCTTTCGTTTCATTAGTGATGGTACTGAAAAATTGATGAAATGTACCATCGACAGGAACCGTCTTACAAAATCATTTGAACAGAAAGCTTCTTACTCTTGTATTTTAAATTTCGCCGTTTCCAGGTTCGCGTCTATGACCTTTTTATTGAAATGGAGGGTCACTTCCGGGTACTTCTCTGCGGCTGTTGAATAAAAAGAACCTTGCAATAAAATTTACGAATGCACTTCTCGCGAATTATTTCGATCCAGACGAAATGGAAGAAAGTTATTTCTATTTAGAAAGCAGGTTCACTGCGCTTAAGTCGGGCCTGAGCAAATGGGCCAATTAAAAATTTAACGCATAAGTAGGCGCAGATTAGATTATAAGCGACGCTCGAGCGTACGTGTTTCACGCGCAACATCTCGAGAAGCAAAAGGTGGTAGTAACAAGAAACGTGACACTCTCGAATTCTTGTGGCTTCACGCACTACCGCGTCACCGGATATTCAGCGACGATTCTTTTCGATCGACAAGCATCTCGTGTTCGTCTCTCTATTCCGTGTAACAAGATGTGATTTTAGTACCGAGACGTTCAACGCGCTAAGAAACCTTTCTTTTCGAATGCATCAGTACGATGGCAAGTAGTACGAGTCAACAAATACGAGTTCTGGATAGAAAAGATTCGCTCACCATTCAATAGAACTATGTTCAGGTATCGTCTGCTGACCGAGTAAATACACTGCAAAATATCAAATAAAAATGGTTCGTTTGAAATGTTATTAGTGTTAGAGGGAATGAAGGAGGGGATTATTGAAATCACTTACGTTCCCTTTTCCATCGTAGATGATCTCTTTCAGATTGCCATCCTTGTCGTGAATCATTCTTCCACGCATTGGGATGCCATGATGGTCGATCAAGGTATCTTCAAGGCCGACTGCCCTTAAAGCTTCGCGACCTCTGACCGAGAGTGCCAGGTCGATACTCTGACCCCATGTATCCTCCTGCCTGACGTCTAAAAGAAAATTTCAATTCCAGGTGTCATTAGACTTCTGGAAACTACTAAATCCTTGGAACACTGGGATAATTTTAACTATTTTCAAAAATTTCTTTTTCTACAAAAATTTAGAATCAAACGTCACCCAATAATTTTTTGAACCTGAAATTCAGAGATTGCCAAGGTATTAATTAATAATAATTAGAATTATTTTATACACTCACCTGGACGATATTCGTAGACGGATACCCGATGACCCCTCTTCGCGAAGAAACAGGCAGCCAAAGCTCCAACCTAAAACACCGAAGATCCACTATATTTTCCTTTGATAAGGAGTTTCTAAACCTTTTTCTTTTTTCTCATCATTTGAAACTATTGGATGATTCGAGCACACACCAAACCACCCCCTGCGATGGCAATCCGCGGCTTTCGATCGGCGACCGCCATACTATACCGTCCAGCAGCGAAGCCGCTGATCAACTACCTGTCCTAACATGATCCTCGTGCTGGTATATATACTGAGTGAGTCAACTAGTATTGGAACCTCAAAAATCGCGGTAATCTACTGACGATACGAGAAAATTTCTTGGAGGGAAAGAATATCTATCGCAAATAAGTAAATGGTGAAAGAAATATGTTTTCTTTAAGGATGTATATTTTCTTCCATATTTTGTTATATTTTTCTTTCTTTCTTTATAATGCAGTATTATTTAATTTTTTCTTATTTGTGTGTGTATGAGAAAAAGGAGACGGTAGCAAGATAAGTGGAAATAATTACTCTTTAGGCAATTTTTCCTCGTTCCAAACAATAATTATCGAGTGCTATCCCTGCAAATTTGCAGTTAACAATAATACGTTTTGTGTCGAACTCTTTTACTGTGAAAGTGTTAAGGGTAGTATAGTTTGTATAAAAAATTGTTTAACGTTAACTCTTTTGAATTAACATTACTGCAAAAATGTGTCCAAAAATATCACATTTCTTAATTCCGTCAGATCGTGATTTTCCATGAAATTTTTGTTATCGAAAAGAAATACGTAAACAGTTTAGGGAGATATGCGACGGTATTCACATTTATAAGAATAATTTTGTTTATGTGAGTTCTTTCTTGTCGATTTGCTGTTTTATAATACCAGAGATTAAGAGATATTGATATTAATTTGAAGCGCCGTCAGTAACTGATAGCAGATCGGACGTTTGATTGAAATTTAGATAACAATATCTGCGAACGAAAGCAATGCTTTTCTATATGCTGTATTGGAAAAAGAAGAAACTAGAAGATTCTATGGTAATAGATTGTATTTCTGATTATTCCAAATTCTATTACTAAATAAGATTGTATCGATAAATTTACTTGATCACGTGAATTTCTTAACTTAAAAAATTTTGGAAAGAATGAAACTTATCACTTTATTACTTCGATGAAATTTAATTTTTTATCTTAATATTTAAAACAATTTCATGATTTGTTTTGCTCTTCAAAATCGATCATTGCACCTACACAAATTTCACTTTGATTTGTATTCTCTACACTATGTGCAAAGAAATTGTAAAGGCTTACCACTCATCAAGATACCAAAGATTACAAAGACTTCTACAGCTTTCCAAGTCTGAAGCATATGTATACCTTTTTTGTGACGAAAGCAGTCTGCTGATAGAGAGAACTCGTGTATTATGAACTCTGCAACAGTTTAATAACTCCTAAAGCTTGTCTGTCTTCGCTGCTGAAGCAACAAGCTCGGGTACCAAAGTCTAAGAACTACAATCAAAATATCGTAAATCAAATCCTTCTTTTAACAACCCATAAAACTACCGACGATTCATATGTTACAAGTTTTTCAGTACAAGTACTTTCCGCTTTTATATCCTCTTTCACTTGTCAGTAGATTGGAAGTGTTCAGGAGAAGAATAGTTGTTGAACACTTGGTAGCTAAAATGGTTAATACTGACCTTGACCATCAAGCTGTGAATAAGGGATGAAGCATTGCAAATTATTAAAAAATATAAATATTGCAAGAATGAAATTACAAGTGTGACCTACATTTCTAACCGATGACACATGGACCCGAGGTTAACAATGGGGGGTTGCAACCCTACGTCAATGAGAATCACTCTGCAAGAATAATTCACGGTAAGGTTAACTAGAAACGCGAAGAAGCAGGGTTCAATTATGGGTGCCCTTGAGCCACATTTTCGATCGATACCTTCGCTGCTGTATACTCGTACACCCTGCAATGTCAGCGCGGCAAGGACGGAGCGATTACTTGTGAAGCCAGTGCACCGTGAAGAGGTTCAAGGTGTCTTGGTATCCTTGGACCCTAGTGTCCACTGATTTCCATAATCTCAATACCTTAATGACCAAGAAACTAATTACTCATGGAGTGCTGTCCCAAGTTGGTCCACGACCTCCCCTGATTTTTAACCTACCCTGAAGCCAATTCACCCGAAGAAGACTAGGACCCCGGACACACAATAACTCCAATTTGATTCCTATATTATGAAAATGTTGCAAGGGGGAAGAGAGGAAGCGTTCCGGTAGCCAGTCCAGGTCCTGCCGGTCGCTCGCCAGGGGTGGCGCGAGGAAACTGAAAACGGCCAACGAGGATGATGTGGTAGCCGACGGTATGACGATGCGTGGCGTGGTCGTCGTGGTCACGGCGCTGTTGGAATAATCAAAAATAGCCGGTGTGCCAGTCAGTGCGGCGATGTCGACGGCGAACGACGTTTCGACGGTACGGTTCGGCCGGTGGTGGTGGTGCTGGCGGAGACGAAGGAGGAGTACTACCTGCGGGCCAACGATGCCGACAGGATACGCGAAAACGTTCGTCCTCCTCGGTGTACTCGCGGTGTTATGCGCCCTGTTGGGCCCCGTCGACGCCTTAGCAAGGACGAAACCTGAAGAGCCTCGGGGCAAGGGAGGCCACAAGGAATCCGAGCCTGTCATCGAGGAAGTCAATGCCAAACAGCTCGAACGGCTCCTCAATGAGAAGGATTTTGTTGCCGTGTACTGGTGTAAGTGAACTCATAGTGTTCTTCCTTGTTTTATGACCTTCAGGCTGGATCTTCTCCTATCTTGTGATGTAATTGTTTCGGCAGTGGAGATTTTAAAAGCATAGCTTGTCTCTTTACTAACAGATTCGTGAGAGATGGTACCACTTGTGAGAAATTCTACCGAGATCACTGGGCTGTTTGGATACTCGAAGAATTTCTTCTTCAGGTGTTTAGATTTTCTGTTGCCTACTGGCAAATCAATATCGAATTGAATTTCTGCATATATAGCACACTTTGTTGCGAAAGTGGACAGTAAAGAAATGTAGAATCAACAGGACACGTGGACACAAGTTCCATCTTATGTAACCCCTATATAACATACCCTCTTGCATCTCATTTTTCTATCAAATTTTTCAAGCTACTCTATGCTTTTATCCTTCGACACAATTATTTTCTAATACCAACAGAAATCTGAGTTAGATCAGAATCATTTGATTCCCACATAAATTACAATCAAGGTATCCTAAGTATCAGAATCATCAAACAGGGGAATGAAATCATCCAGACAAGAATAACCATTCTCTTCAATTATTTGTCTATACGAATTCGATATTTTAATGGATTTTCTAGATCGACGGCATTTATCAGGTCGTTGCAGATATTTTCTTGGCTACGGAGCTGTCTCTTCTAGGCCTCCCTCGTTCTTCTTCTTCTTCTTCTTCTTCTTCTTCTTCTTCTTCTTCCTTCTTCGTCCCCTTCGTCCCTGTCGGTCCTCGGCGAATTATATAATCGGTACCGTAGTGGGTGTCGATGAAAGCCAGAACTGCAGCACGCGATTCGTCATTGAGATCGTTTTGCGTGCAAAAGACGACAAGTGAGACGTCAATACGGGCTACGGTTGTTAAACGTAGCGAGGCGGGGACGCGCGTTCCCGCGTTATAAATAAGTCTCCCGGCAGAAGATTGACGCCTCTGTTTCTCGTCGAACTCGATTCCTCTTCGGTTTCTTTTCTGTCGTTCGACATCTTTGAATTGATTCTACTTACAAGATATAGCAGTGTTTAACCCACGTGTTAATAATCAACCCAGATCATTTTCACCATTGACATTCATACTCTTGCTATCAGAATTACTAAGAAAATTTTCATTTTTATTTTATTAATTATTAGATTATAATTATTTTGAAGCGTCATGCCAGTCACGTGTCAGAGGGTACAGTTTGCAATATTCTTATAAATGTTGATTTTCATTTTGGTGTGGATGGTGTGTGTTACTGGTTATGATTACGTGTCCACGTTAAACACGCGGATTGCATTCGCGTGACAATTAACAGGTATTAAATTCTCTTCTTTTGCCAAGTGGCTAGTCCACGCTCAGTAGGACAAGCCGTCTCGAGTCAGACGCGAGATTTCGTGAACGTCTGCGGGATGTCAATGAAATTATGTGTTATTATTATTATTTTTTAATTAGTTATTCCTCATAAACGAGGCTCGCCACGATTAATGAAAAATAAAATTATAGTAGCTTCCAAGATATTTACAATATTAAATTGTGGCTTCTTAAATTGTAATTAGAACAGATAATCGTTACATCTCAATATTTTTGTTTCGCCTAATAAATTTTCTAATGATTTTTATGGGATTTGAAAATTTGTCTAGCATAGCTTCGTAGAGCTCTGCGATATTCTAAACGGAGAATGTCTAAGGATGATAGAAATTATTATTTTCGAGATTCTATGAATTTTCGGACGCGAATATAGAGATCAAGAATTTCTTGGCACAATGGAGAGATTATCGGAATTGTTTGGAATTTCGAGCGAACGCAGAATGCGTACACTGTAAATAACTCTTGTAACTGAGCGGATTGCGTTGGATATTTGATGCTGGATTTTGTTGTACATTATTTTTCAAAGAAAATTAGAGTATTTGGATTTTCAAAATATCTTAGTGTCTCTTGAAGTTGAAGCGGAGATTTAGAATTATTAAAAACAGAAAATTTTCAAAGTTCCAATGTAAACTCGGTTAAAATAAGAAAAAGAACAAGAGAATTTGTAAGATGAAAATAGATACTGAACCTACAGTACCTAAATCGAGAAACAAAAGTTTGTTTAAAGTTAATCGAGTAGACCTCGAAACCGGAAGTCAGGAGTGAACGAACGGAAGCTCAAATAAAATATAGTCACAACTCGGCAGGAGCTATGGAAAATTCAAAACGTCTAGCTACCCTCGATTTTACTACTCCAATGTGGGAAATACAGCAACCATTGACTCACAATGACCGAGTCGCGTTGCCAGCCGCTAACTTAATTCCATCGAAGCAACTCAATTACAATGATTCAATGACCACGTGATGCAAATTGATGTAATTCCTCGAATCATGATTTAGAATGTACCTTAGAATAATTATTTTTATTGACTTTATAAATTTTTATCAACCGACGAGGCTTTAAAATATATTTTAAAAAATATCTCAAGGTTGTTACGACGCTCAAAAATGATTTTCTGGAAGTTCAGAAAGTCAAGTACCCTCGGCTATTGTAAATTAGTCACAATTTTTATTATTTTTTCATTTCACCCTAATGAATAACCTTTTGACAACCTGTTCCACCGAACGTGTGTGTTCTTCGTATAAGCCACGTTCCTGTCGCAGCTCTCTCCTGAATCACGTTTTCATAATACCAGCTGATGTAATGGCTGACACGCCAGAAGACGAACGAAATAACTAACATCCGTACGAGGCAACTCGAGCAGCCTTGCCAAGAGATGGAACAGAATGAAACGATCGTACAATCGTTCCCCTTCTCCAGTCTTAACGCTACAGCTACTAACATTTAACTCATCTTTAAATTAAAAAATAAATAAAAAACAGACAAATCACTCACGAATCTTTATCTTGGCAAAAGTTAAATTATCATAAATTTGATAATTTAAAATAAAAATTCAAAAGCCATTGGTAAATTTAATTAATTTCATAGTTACTGTTAGTACCCTGAAGAATTCATTTTCCATCGAATAATTTTCTCTTCATGATGTAACACGAACACTCTGAAAATACCCTCGCCTCTTTCTCTATCCATAATCTTAAAAATAGTATCACGAGAGTAAAGAGAGATCTTTCGAGTCTTTATTCTGACCACGTATCTTTTTCGCTCTGTTAAATCACTATTCCTGGGATTTTTTATAGAAAGATCCCGTTGGCTGGGTTCTGGTCGATCGGCAGAAAAGAACGGATACCTCTTGAACGTGGTAGCAAGGCCGGCGCTCCGGTAGCCGCCGCTTTTAGCACACGTTCGAGTTATTTTAGCGCTTGCCGCCAAGCCTCTTACTATCGTCTCGCCTGAAAACATGTACGCCTCTGTTCTACCATATTCTTCGTCGACGGTTCTTCGTATCGTTGAAACGTTTCTCGTGTACACGGTTAACGATCTCGATTACCTGGAACCATGTTCCATCGTTAAAATCGACACGGTTCGCGGGAAATTCGCGCTAGAATCGCGCTAGAACGACGAGCGTTCAGCTTCGAGACGCAACGAAGACCCGGACGACGAGCTCGCGATGCGAACCTATTTCCAGACGCTGCGTCCTCGCGGCTTCTTTGCCACCTAGCTTTTTCTTGCGGTTACAATTTCGAGACCAGCTTTTTCTTCCTTTTTTCAAAACGAATTGCGATCGATTCGTGATCATTGGAGTCATTAGCTGGGGGTCAGAGTGCACCTAGACCTCATTAAAATTATAATGAATGAACAGAAAGGAATTTGACAAAATTTCAAGTATTATTAATTTCCTATTAATTTTATAAGATATGGAAAAGTTAAATTGTAAAATAAAATATTGTGATATATATATTATTTTGAAGGGACTGAACTAATCCCGGATGAAAATTCTAAAATTTGTAGAATTTGTGTTATTTTTCCTTGATACGTTTCTTCAAACAAGAAATAAAAGATCCACACGAACTGGAAAACGTCTCAGGCGGATATTTCCAGAACCCCTCGTCAGACGTCCTGAAAGACGAACCCTTTCCGCCCCATCAATTAAGTAGAGGATTCTCTGTCTCCCGTCTTCCCATCGTTTCTGTCACGTCGTAGAAACAAGACAATTATCTCTTGATCGTCTTATGAGCGGCATAGGTCACTTCACCCCTGAACCGATCCGCCTGGGACATGGAAATAGAAACAAATTTTGATTTATTAATAAATTACCTAGGCTTTCGTTAATGTTAAATGTCATGGGAGAGGATCAGTATCTAGCGCCACAAATATAATATATTAAAAACCGCGTTTCAAGGTTGATATTCTGTTCAATAACACGCAACACGATTGTACTATGTCTGCCACAAAGGAGCAAACGAAGTGCATCTTTCAGTAGATCTGGCCAGCGTCTAAAATTATACTGTGCTGTGTAGAACATTATACCAACAATTCCAACGTAAGTTCTGTAGAATTGTAAAAAACAGCTGGTTTGTTTGAAAAAATCAGTCTTGTGAAGATTTATTATAAATAGGATTTATTTCTAACAGTATACAATTCTGCTGAGTATAAAATTAATAATAAATAAATTTACAGAGTTTCCAATAAGCCGGATTGATGAATTAA